TCTCTAGAATGTGCCCTTTAACCCTGACAATGTCTCCTGCTTGTATGCATGCAGAGTTGTGCAGCTGTAGGTATGCAAAAAGTTCTGATTTCTGCATGACCGGAATGCAACCTACTGTACAAAGGTAAGATTTACAACCATTGCTCCACCACGTTTTGCTTCTGGCCCCGTGCACCACCGACCTGTGGCCTTCAGGTTGAAAACAGTTCCTCCATCCCTAGCATATGCCCTACAGCTGAACTATAGGTCTCTGAGCAAAGCTTCTGGTGCCTGGTGCCTTCGGTATGTGTGTTACATTTCTCGAAAAAGGACTGGATGAGCATATTAATAGGCAGCATTTTAATGTGTTATGCTTTGCTTTTCAGTCACAAGCTACATCATTTCCTTAAGAACCTTTGCAGTTGAAAGATCTCTTTGTCAAGGTCAGTACAGCTAGTTTTCAACATATGATCAAGCAAGTCCAAATAAAACGATTTAGATTATTTTTTTTAAAATAATGGAAATTACCATTAAAGCAGCCCTATTCAAGTATCATGCATATCTGGAAACAGAACACATTAATGGGGAGACAAGCATATTAACTTCATCCTTATCTGAAGCGGGGAGACTCCTATATGCTTCTAAACCCCAGCTGCAGGGAAACACAAGCAGAAAGAGTGCTGCTGCACCCATGTCCTGTTTGCAGGCTTGCCACAGACACCTGGCTGACCACTGTAAGAACAGGATCCTGGGCTAGATGAGTCTTTGGCCTGATCAAGCAAGGATGTTCTCGTGTTCTGTGCTCACTGACGATCACATGCAATGTAGAACCTTGGGAAATGTGGGGAGCCTATGAGAGGAGAAGCACGTGGGTGGCAGTGGGTGGAACTAGCAACACATCCCTAAAATCCCTGCTTATGAGTTATAGATCTAGGTTTTAATAACACCTGAGTAGGGTGTACCTAGCTCCACACCCAAATTCTCATAGTCCATTCTTTTAAAGTAAATGCATAGCCCTTCTCGTTGCAAATAAAAAGCTTACAAATGCAAAGGCTGTGGGCTGTGCACAACCAATGGCTTTTTAAAGAGCTGGACATGGTATTGTAGAGCTATCATTGCCACACTCTGCCCCTCTCTTTCACCCATTGTGATTTTACAGCTTTCTGTAACATTTCAAGGAGATACATGGCAAAAGCTGCAACTAGCCCTCCGCAGTGTAGCTACCACAACTGCAACAGATATCTGCATTTTTTAGAGTGACAGTAGATGCCCATGAAAAATATCCCCTTTCCCTATCCCACCATACCTGGAGCAACTTTGGAAGCATTGTAATGTATTGTCTAAAAACAAATTTCTTGTTTAAGTAACAAAGGATATGTGCATATCCACAATGGCACACATTTGGTTCAGGTATGGGGAACCTGACTTAAATACCGTATTGGCCAGCATATAAGCCACTCCCGAATATAAGCCGCACCTTTAAAATTTGGGGGGGGGGGAGAAAAAAAAGACAATACCCGAATATAAGGCGCTTCCTTAAAATTTCGCAGGCACTCATACCCATTCTGTTTTACCATATGTCTGTTTCAACAGTGATATCGTAAAAGCCCATTTTTGTAAGGTTGCAAACTTAAGACGCACTTTAACTTTTCAAGGTCAGAATTTGGGGGGAAAGGGAGGCTTATATTCAGGCCAATACGGTATGACTGTCAAGCCTCCCCATCTGGCCAGGCAACATACCCTCCTGAGCCATACCCCTCACCAGCCCTGATTCGCACCCTCCTAAAGTGTCTTTGCCTGGATAAATGTGTCCTTGAACTCTGATAATGCTTCTTGCTTACCTGGGTGGAGGACAGAGGGTGTGTGCATGCGAACAAACTAGCCTACTGTACAAACGTAACTCCACATTTATCGCTCTGCCCACTTTCCCCTCTGGCCCCACTCATCATTAGCCTGGGGCCCCAGGAAGGGAATGTGGCCCTCAGGCCAAAAATGTTTCCCACCCCAGTACAGTTAGTTTTAAAATGTATCTGTGATTATAAATGCAGAACATGACATTACACACCTGCTCCTAAATTAAGAGTGTGATACTCCTATGGGACTGAACAGCAAGGAGTCCTCATTCCTGCCTATCATCAAGACAGCAAAATACATCTCTCTCTCTACATTATTGGCTCCATTTGATGGCAATCAAACAACAACAAACACGTAGTTGTGTTACAGACCCAGTTTGGGATGGATTTGATGATGAGTGCTATACAAATGAAATACATAGTGAATTGACCACTTCCCAGCCCTAATTAAATTAGCTCTACACCACTCTCTCCCCCCCCTCCACTATTCTAGCATCTAAAATAAATAAATCCAGAGGTTACAAAGAAACCAAAGTTCTGCAGTCAAGAAGGTACAGCAAGTAAGGAAATGTGTCTAGTTTAGCACAACTTTATAAAGTTTTTGAAGCTTCAGTGCTGCAGTGTGTGGGCTGCAGTGTATAAAGTCATGATTAAGAAACATTGCTTGCTATGTGATCTATCTGCACGGCTTATTTCCTATTTTGTAACTACTATTTCCTCGTGCATTGTATCCTTCTGGGATGTTCCAAGTCAAAACTGGACAGTGAAAGAAAATTTCTGACTACCATTATTTGTCCGAAAAAGGCAAACGTTATCTTCAAAGCTGGTATAAAAGTTGCCTTCAAAGAAAGCTGATTTCCAAAACATTATAAACTAGCAGAATTGGAGCAACCTGGACTCCCAGATGAGGCTCATGATAATGAAAAGTTGTAGCTTACAGATAGGACCATGCCTGAATCCAAGAGTAGACTCATTAAGTAGGCTGATTTTACATAGTTCATGATTTACAATGAACTTGGGAGATTTCTCCTGCTTTGTTTCCTCCCTCTGTAAGTGTGGGAGCAACAAAACACAATCCATGGCTTAGTATTATGTCTAAAGTGGGAGATCATAGTTTGGTTTGCTCAAACTTACTAGAACTGCTCAGTCTCAGGTTCATGTATCTACCATTTTTACTCTTCTTCTCCAATACAACCATGAGAAGTTGGGAAGCAGTGCTTCTATTTTAAACTAATTGCAGTTTGTAATTTTGTCCAAACTGTGGTTAGTTTAAACCAGCGCTCCAGATTTTGTTGAACTCAAATCAGCTCTGACTACTGGTCATGGCTGGGGTTGATGGGAGTGGGAGTCTAACATCTGAAGTTACAAAACTTAGCCCCCCTGGTTTGAACTGCAGTTTGTGAAAACAAGTCAAGATCAAGTTGTGGTTTCTGATCCTTACTTGTTGGAACAAACCATAGTTAAAACTGCAGTCCCTGCTTTGGGTGAAACACAGCTGGTTTAAAATGAAAGTGGATGCTTCCAATTTCCTCCTTACAGCTTCATGTTCAGTTGAGGGGAGGGGAGAAGGAAGCAGGTTTGTGTATGGAATTCTAAACTATATTCTGTCTGAACCAGGTGAATGCCAAGAACTAAGGCATTGGTTTCATTTTGTCATGTATGAAATCATTTACCATGCTCAAAGAAAATTCTAATAGCTTCAAGGAGTAACGTGCTAGCAACTTAGGAGGAGAAAGTGTAATGCAACATTAGAAGTGAAAATTTGAAGTGACATGCTGTAGGGGAATGGAAGTTGGTGCTTAGCAATGTCCTGACATTCAAAAAAGCAACATTCCCTAAACATACTTTCTCACAATTGCTTTAAAAAGGAAACACGATGACAATGTATTTAAGGGGCATCAAAGTAGATACATTTAGTGAATTCATTGGGGTTTATTTTCTAGTACGAATGGATATGATTATGGGAAACTGCCTTATACCAAGTCTATTGAGCTCAGCATTGTTGACTAGACCAGATATTAACTGACTGCAAATATTAAAAATCAACTGAATGTGAAATAATGAAATGCCTGTATGGGGATGATGTGTATTCATTTTTGTTTCCTTACATCAAGGAACAGGTCATATAGCAATATCTAGAAAGAAACAAAATAGCCATTTTGCACAAATCTGTGTCATTTCACACACTGGGAGAAATTCAATGTTACGCTTTCCTTTTCTGATTGTTCCATCAGTGGAAGCATTTCTACATTTATCTACTATATGTTTTGGAAAGTTGCTTGCATTTGGACACCTCTTAAGTATCATAACCAAATTTTGCATAACCATTTCTGATATCAAGGAGCAGGTTTTTGTCTATGTTTGGATATAACTGATGCCATTTTGAATCAGAATGGGAGACTCAATCTTTCAAAACTGCACTGATTTTAATTACTGATTTCAAAATTGTACTGATTTTGGGGGGCTTCTTAGAATTCCCAAGCAACACTGGGTACAAAGCTGCTATTTTTAGGTATGCAGGTGACTCTCAACTAACTCTGGGGTTATGTACCGGGAATAGCACCTAAAATCAAAATCATATATAGTCAAACACACTGGCAGTTCCACCCACCATTGAACCCAAAGTTTTTAATCTCAGATTAAATTTTTAACACTCGGCCTTTCCATTAATTATTTTTTTTTAATCGGCAAATGAGTGAAGCTGAATGCACACTAGTTAAAAGCATGTAATTTGTGAGTTACCTGTATACCCAAATATGTAAGCAGCTCTTGCCAAGGGACAATTTATACATTTGTCAAAGCACTAAATGCTTTAAAGTACAACCCAAAGGAGTGCAATGGTAAACAGGCAGAAGAACGCAGTTCCACCACATGTGTCCACTGAGTATTCCCACATATTTAGAAACGTACATTCCGGCCCATCACATTTTACTGTGTTATCATTCCAAAGCCCTCCGGAATACAAAATAAAACACTTGCAACTTTAGGGTTAGGCCTCTGTGGTGAAAAGTTCAGTTGCACCAGAAACTTTACCAGATGCACATCGGATGGTTTTAGGTGTATGCTTCCCATTTCTCAATACTCCCCCCTCCCCCCTAAAGACAGAACCACCACCCACTTAGGATACCAACAAGTCAGTCCCCACTAGGCTTCAGCAGAGATACTCACCTATACTGCCAGCTTTTGGTAGTGCTTCCTCCTCTGCTACTGCTGATCCCACCGCTGCTGATGCCACTACTACTGCTGCTCTTGCTTGTGCAGTTCTGGGCTGGGATCAAAATCTCCAGCTTGCCTTCGCTTTCAGACACTTTCATCGCCGTCGGTGGCGCTGCCGGAGCCGTAGACACAGGCTCCCCACTTTGCATGGTGGGGCCTGTCAGGCCCCTGCCCACCCAAGGGTGGGAGAGTGCAACAAGCCAAGTCACCAAGGGTTCTAGGAAAACTTGTTTTCTCAAAGCTGTCAAGTATCCTTAGGAAAAAACGAGGGGTCACTCCGGAGTGGAACTTTTGTGAATGGGGCCAAATGTGGGCCAGAGATGGAGCAAGTCTATGGAAATAAGCTCGAATGGCAGCTTTGAAGGGGGGAAAGGGAGAATATGGAGGGGGAAAGAGCCAGGTCTGGGGAAAAGGCCAGGGATCCAACAGAAGAGTTTCCTGAACACCCAGAGAATGAATCGGGAGCAGGGCAGCCGGCTGCGTTGGCAACGTGGGGGGGGAGGGGTCCAGGCACTCGCCCCCAAGGCGTGTGTAAACCGGGGGAGCAGCTCCGCGCACCTCAGTATCCCATGGGAGGGCAGAAGTGGGGTGGTGGGGAGGCAGCGGGAAATTCCTCAATTGTTCAGAGAGGCGGGATGCTGGCGCCGAAAGGAGGGCGCCCGCTTGGGGTTTGTACCTCCTTCCGCCAGAGGCTGCCTGCCTGCCTGCCTGCCTGGGGCTGGTCTCTCACCATGAACCGCAAACGCCCCTTCTGCAGCCCCCTCCCACACTCGGCCAGGCTCCGTCTTCCAGGGCTAGCAGCGGTGGCGGCGGCGACTCGCAGCCCACACGAACCGAGAGCAGCAGCAGCAGCAGCAGTGGCAGAGCCGCTCCCACCCCTTCCGGGTCAGGCTTAGCCGCTCCCCGCCGCCTTCGTCCCTGTTTCTCCGCCCCGTGAAGGCCGAGGGCGGGCGTGAGCGCTGGCGGCGCCATCTTTGTTAAGGGAAACGGGGGAGGGATGCCCTGACAGGAAGGAGTTGGCAATAATAACAATAATAAATAATAACGAACAATGATAATAATACCTGCCTAAAACACCAGAAGGCAAGCATAAAGGGCCTTGACATAAAACACTGTTTGTTTGTTTTTTGTGCTATTATTTCTGTGGAAGAAACCGAACTTGGAGCGAGGGTGTGACTCAGCTGCACGCCAACGCGCCCTCTGCGCCCACTTCTGAGTGTATGGAGATCTATTTTCACAGAGCCTCTTATATTTTCGTTCTCGTCTGCTCCGCATTGTTCACGACGTTCTTTGCAGCCCCAGCAGCTCCAGTCTGTTGCAGCAAAATAAAAAAAAAAGGGCTTGTGACCACTTTTTAGCCCGAACCAGACCAAACCTATTGAAATTAATGGGCATGGCTAACTTAAGTTCATTCATCTAAACAGCGTGCTCTAACTTAGCTGGCTGCAACCCAATGGATCTTGTGGAATCTAAAAAGGCTAGCCAATTGTGACTTATAAGACTTATAAGACCAGAACATGCTTGACTTATAAGACTTATAAGACCAGAACATGCTTGATTGAAGCTAAACTGATATTTTAAAAAGCCAAATTATTCTGTTCTTTTCAGCTAAAAATAAAGTCAATTTAAATATGCAAGACAAGTGCAGAAGAGCCTATTGATATTTTCTGGGCCCATAGAGTTGGTGGAAGTTGCCTAAGCCATCTGGAAGGTACCACCAGTGTCTACACTCTTGTTGTTGTTTAGTCGTTTAGTCGTGTGAGGCTCTTCGTGACCCCATGGACCAGAGCACGTCAGGCACTCCTGTCTTCCATTGCCTCCCGCAGTTTGGTCAAACTCATGCTGGTAGCTTTGAGAACACCGTCCAACCATCTCATCCTCTGTTGTCCCCTTCTCCTTGTGCCCTCCATCTTTCCCAACACCAGGGTCTTTTCCAGGGAGTCTTCTCTTTTCATGAGGTGGCCAAAGTATTGGAGCCTCAGCTTCAGAATCTGTCCTTCCAGTGAGCATTCAGGGCTGATTTCCTTAAGAATGGAGAGGTTTGATCTTCTTGCAGAACATGGGACTCTCAAGAGTCTCCTCCAGCACCATAATTCAAAAGCATCAATTATTCGGCAATCAGCCTTCTTTATGGTCCAGCTCTCACTTCCATACATCACTACTGGGGAAACCATAGCTTTAACTATACGGACCTTTGTCTACACTCTTATATTGCCCTAAAAGTTCAACCATTCCTATATGCTACTCAATAAGACAAAGCCATGGATCTTGCTGCCTTGGGATGCTACCTATGCTGCAAAAACACAGTGGACAGTCACAGATGGAGAAGTATTCATCATTCATCCCTGTGTGACACTGCATGGCTTTTCATTACGCACAATGCCTGCTATCCTTGATGAAATAGGTTGTTCCTTATGAGATCTAAACCAACTGAGACTGCAATACTAAACATACTCCCTAGAGAGTAGGCCTGTTTATAGACAATGGAGCTTACTTCCTAGTAAAATGCACACCGTTGTGCTGTTAGTCTCTGTGATGTCCTAGTACAGGAGTGGGGAACCTGTAGGCATTCAGGCATTATTGCATTTCAGTTTCCTATCAGCCCCAGTCCGGGTTGTCAATAATAAGGGATTCTGGGAGCTGAATGCATCTGTATCCAACACCTGGAAGGTCACAGGTTCCCTACCCAGCATCTAGTGATTTTCCTCCTATAAAAATATGCATACTTTTGGCTTGCACTACACTAGAAATAAAGGCTCTTTCACAAGGCAGCAATTGAAGAGTCCTGGCTGGATACCGATAGTTTCCATTGTGAGCATGACAGCTGCTTTCCATATAATGGTTGTTAACATTCTTTGCCTTTCAGGTTTCAAATATATATTTCAAATATTATATATGTGCAATATATAATATTGCTGTACATTATATAATATTGCTGTACATAATATAATATAATATAATATAATATAATATAATATAATATAATATACTAGATTGGCTAACAGATTCTAATAGACAAGGCATTAGAAAACCTTGAACTTTTAATATAAAAAGTGAAATAAAGGTAAAGGTACCCCTGCCCGTACGGGCCAGTCGTGACCGACTCTGGGGTTGCGCGCCCATCTCACTTAAGAGGCCGGGGGCCAGCGCTGTCCGGAGACACTTCCGGGTCACGTGGCCAGCGTGACGAAGCTGCTCTGGCGAGCCAGCACCAGCGCAGTGCACGGAAACGCCGTTTACCTTCCCGCTATAAAGCGGTACCTATTTATCTATTTGCACTTAATTGTGCTTTCGAACTGCTAGGTGGGCAGGAGCTGGGACCGAACGACGGGAGCTCACCCCGCCGCAGGGATCGGCAAGTCCTAGGCGCTGAGGTTTTACCCACAGCGCCACCCGCGTCCCAGGTAAAAAAGTGAAATAACTATCTGTAATTATATGTTCACGTAAGAGCTTCTTGATTACAAAAATTATTTCTTTGCATATGCATAGCATGTGTCTTCCCTAACAGGCTACTTTCAAATCTTCCAGCAATAGATGCAGTCTGTTCTTAAATAGTTCCCCAGCATTAATATTTAGGCAAACGCAATAAAATAAAATGAATCAAGTCTTACACCTGAAACACACTAAAACCAAAAGAGAATCGTAGATTATTTTATTTAGCTGCTGTTTCCCTCTAGTGACCAAACTAAATACTACATGTGAAAGAAGAGAAGCCAGTACAATGTCAAACACCTGTTTTTTAATGGTGATGATGAAAGGTCTTTCTTAAGTTTTACCAAACCATGATACACAAAATTCACATAATTCTCACATTAAGACATAGGTGAACCATCACACCTCTACCATATGATGTGACAGGTTACATGTTTCAAGCGAAGGATGTGGCTGGGTTACAAAGTATTGATTTACATGACACTTGATACTAGTTGGTTAACATAGTTTATGCCCTGAAATGCTGCAGCCAAAGGGCTTGTTCAGCGGTTGGGAGACCCTTTAAAGGGTTTTCATTAGTGCTCCTGCCTTCTATTCACACAGGAAACATAAAAAGAGGGTTACCTCTTTCCAGCACAGCTGGGCACACTTGAACTTTGGCAGAGAATTAAGTTTTTAATATCTTCTACCACACACAAGATGAATAAGGTCAGGCCATCTTGGATGACATGCCAGGTTCAATCAACTTTGCCCTATCATCAGTCAGGGAGTGCATTCAGTTGCATGCACCCCTTCCCCTTATTATTCATTCACAACACTTTGTAATCCAGGGAAACATAAACATACATGGAAAATACGGACCTTAGCTGAATGTTTAGTGGCCACAAATATTCAGCTCCCTCCATGGCTCCTGGTGTTCTACAGTACATAGTAATATCTACTAGATGGATTCTGATTTTCTTGATCACTGGAAAACCAAGCGTATATGCTGGTCCTGATTATGCACAGTTCATACCTGCCATCTTTTTCTTTAAAACGTATGTTAGTAATTTGTATCAGGTAATCAATTCAGGTCTATTCTGAATGGGTTTGCTGAAGCTTTAAACAAACAGTAGACAGCTGGGTGCCTCAAACAAACCACATGTAGCTTTCAAAGTGTAGGTAGCAAACTTAACACACCCACAAAAGTCAATAGCTCACATGCCTAATGTGAACAAAAGCAACCTGTTTGTGCTTCAAGGAGCCTAAAATATGTTCCCCTGACAACCATCAAGCTATCTGAGGGGTGAAATCACATATTTATTAATGCAGCTCAAGCGTGCATGACTTTTGCCTCAAAGGGATAGGGGAAGGCAATGGCCCATTTTCGGCTGGAGGCATGCTGTCAGAAGGAGCAGAATAAATGACTCATTATACCAGGGTTGGGGTGCTAACTATCTGTTCAGAACAAAGCCAATTTAAAGTCCCCGAGGATATAGCATAGGAACACAGAAAGTTGCCCTAAGGAAAACCATCAGTCTGCCTATTTCAGTCTTGTCCATGCTGGCTGGCTCTCCAGAGTGCCACACAGCAGTCTCTCTCAGGGCACCTACCTGGGGGCACCAAAGACTGAACCTGGGACTCTTTGTATACAAACCATGTGCTCAGTCACTGAGCTTCAGCCCTTCCCCAAACTCTGACCCATATACTGTATCATCATTTCTCTTCTGTTCTTTGTTGCTGACCAGACTGCATCCCTGTTCTCCCTTTCCTGCAGCTTCCCTCAATCCTGCTTCCCTGGTTTCTACTGCTAAAAGAGTTTGAAGGATTTGCATTATTAACATTATCGTGCTGTTTCTGGATTAGTGGATCTCTGGGTATTTATCAGAAATACTTGAGACTGAGGGAAAACTTGTTTCATGTGTTTATGTTGTGAACCACCCTGTGATCTTCGGATGAAGGGTGGTATACAAATTTTAATAATAATAATAATAATAATAATAATAATAATAATAATAATAATAATAATAATAATAAAATCTGTGCCATCAGTTCATGGCACCAGTGACCCACTTCAGACCTTTATGAGGCTGGCCTTCATGTGGTGACAAGGAAGCTATGCGCTTCTGGCATGGCCATGTTCAATGTAGCATTTGCTCCTGTAAAAGAACAGTAAGGATATTCCCATCTGCAGCATCACACCTTTGGTCCTGCTTGTCAACATATTTAGAAAGTACTTCTATATCTATTGTGTTGCTTGAGGTCACCTTTATACTTTGAGTAGGGTTAGCTTAGCAAGCATGTATGTACAACCAGTTAGAGAGGCTACAAGAAAAAGAAAGAAAGAAAGAAAGAAAGAAAGAAAGAAAGAAAGAAAGAAAGAATCTTGTTTCATCAACCACATCATTTTCTTCAGCTTTGATACTTCAATTCCCTCTTGGTCTATTTGTATCTTAACACAATTATATTAA